GTGAGAGCCATCGGCATCCCCAGGTCCGCCCCCCGGAAGGCGGTCGGCGGAGAGGCGGGGGCGGCCGATGTGGTTCGGCGGCTCCGGGCAGATGGTGAGGTCGTAGCTGTCGTCGTTGAAGAAGACCCGGAGCGTGGTGTGAAGCTTGGAGGCATCGAGGCACTTCACCTTGACCCTGACCTCCTCCTCTTTGCACAGAGAAAGCTCATCAACCACCACCACCTTGCCCAGGATCTTGGACATACTGCGAATGACCCTCTCAGACCGGGCCACATCGGGGAGGCCGGCGATGAGGATCCAAGCCGTGTCCAGAACCGCCACTGCCTTGGGGTCCCATCTCGGCTTGGAGATGTTCACCACAATCCCGTTGAGGGCCAAGGTGATGCTGTCGCTGCGGGTGCAGAAGCCCATGCTCATAGCGTCGGGGAAGATCACCGAGAAGGAGTTAGGCGCGGTGGAAGACACCTGCCAATCCCACGAGCACCGGCAAAGATCGTTGAAGCACGGAGGGCCCTCGGCGGCGGTGACGGAACCCGAGGGCGGAGCGGCCACGGCGGTAGAGGTAGCGGCAAGAGGAGGGCGAGGAGGTCCCTTCTTCTTCTTCTTCTTAGCGCCCACGCGCCCACGGTTTCCATTGCCACCGTTGGGGGGTGGGAAGGCAGCCTGGGCGCGCGGGGGCTGGTAACGGCGGCTGTCCGGAGCGGTGGAGTCGGAGGCAGGGGGCGCCGTGCGCGGGGGGGAAGACCGGCGGTAGTCCCGGCCCTCCCGGCCAGGGGAGCGGCGGGTCGGGGACCGGCCGCGAGCAGGGGAGCGGCGGCCCGGAGAGGAGGGGCGGTCGCGGGATCCCCCGCGGGTAGGGTCCCGACGAGCCGGCGAACGGGAACGGGCGGCCTGGTGCGGGGAGCGGCGCGCAGGACGGGGAGGGGAGCGCCGGTGGTCCCGGGAGTCGGGCTCCGGCGAGCTACGAGCCGGGCGGGAGGACAGGTGGTCGCGGAGGTCCGCCTCCCGGCGGAGGCCTTCGGGGGAGGGGTGCGGGGGATCCCGGCGGTCCTCCGCCCGACGCTTGGGGCGGTGGTCCGCGTCCCCCCATTCCCGGGGCATGGCCGGCGGCGGAGGGGGAGGCACGGCGGGGCGCCGGTCGGCGGCAGGGAAGGAGGCGGCAGGAGGGGCGGTAGGGAGCGGGGCGGTCGGGAGAGCACGGGGTGCTCGGGGGAACCCTAGTGGGGGCCAAATCGCGCGGCGGGGCGGGCCAGGCCGCACCGGGAGGCGGGGCTGGGCCGCATCGGGATCAGCGGGGCCAGCCACCCGGCCCGCGGAGGAGCAGGCGGCCCGACTCCTACCCAGCGGCCCACCGGCCGAAGGCCCAGGGGAAGGCCCAACCGCGGGGGTCCCAGGCCGGCCCAGGAGCAGGGCAGCCCGGAACGACCGGCCCGGGGCAACCAGCCGGGGCACGAGGGTTTCCCCAGGCGCCGCCGCGGCGGTCGCCGCCGGAGCCGGGGAAGGGCGATGCGGCCAGGAGCCGGTGCGACGGCGGGCCGGGGACGGTGCAGAGGCCGCCCCAAAGGCGGTGATGAATGGCCGGAAGGGGGACCGACGAGTGACGAGGCCGAGGAGGGCAGGAGCCGGCGCCAGCGATGGGGCGGTCGGAGCAGAGGGGAGCGACACGGCAGCCGGAGCACGGGGGCGCCAGGAGGCGCGTGCCGCCCCGCGGTCAGCGCGGCCGGCGACGCCCCAGCCACCAGTCCGCCGCCGCCGGGGGGAGGCCCGATGCCCCAAGGAGGTGCCTTTGGGCGAACTCGCCGGCCGCGCGCCCGAAGACCGCTGGGACCGCCGCTCGGGCCCGCGGGGGGCCGGACTCCCACCCCTGGGAGTCGGGCCGCCGGCAGGGGGGAGCAGAGGTGAGCGGCCGGGGGGGCGCGGAAGGAGGCGGTCGCGGCAGGCGACGGGGCGCCCCGCGGCGGCGTCGGCTTCGTCCGCGAGATCAGCACAGGAGATCCGCGGGGGGTGGCCGGAGGCAACGGCGGAGGGGTGAGCGAGGGGGACGTCGGCTCGCCGGCAGCGGACGAGGCGAGGGGCGAGGCCGGCGCAGGAGGCGGCGCCGCTGGGGCGACGGGCGCGTCGCCAGAGCCAGCGAGCGCGGGGGGCTCCATCCGTCTTCCGTCTTCGGTTTAACCTCCTTTCCAGAAGAAAAAAAAAATGCTGGCACGGTGAGCGTCGTGGGGAGGAGTGGAAGGAGTCCCCGGGAGTCGTCGATGCCTCCCTGCAGCAAATGAAGACACATCTCAAAGCTGAGGAACTGCACATAGAGCTCATTAGTGGTGATGGGCTCTGTGCGGGCGTAGATCATCGAGACAAAAGAGTTGTAGTCAAAGTCGCACCTTCATGAACGCCGCATGGCAGGTGACGTTGACGAGGCTTGTTGTAACTGAAGAGCTTTTTTTTCTATATACCGGGTAGTTATTATAAGCCAAGCTCTTCTTTTTCTCACACTTGGCCTATCGGCTGTTAAGCCAACTAATGTTTCTTTGTCGTGCCTTCTGAAGTCAATACTCGACTTAAGAGGAAGTAAGACAAGTACCCATGTTTTTAGTTTTTACAGTCAGGTTACATCGAGCCACATGGCGGTGTGTGATTTTCGTGTAGTGCAAGGATGTAGAACATCATGGCCTCGTCGTTGATTGGCTTGCCAAGGGGTGCTATCTTGTTTGCAAGAGCCTTCATGTGCTCGATATAGCCAACCATGGTGGAGTTTCCCTTATTCGTGGTGGCGAGGGTGACTTTTGTATTCACGGAGTGCACACACGTCTGGGAGGCAAAGATGCCTTTGGTCCCGGGGTCAGTCGCGGAGGTGGTCGTGTCCACCTGAGTGAACACTTCCTTTGACAGGGAGGTGAGCAAGAAGTTCAGAACCTACTGGTCTTCGTCCACCTAGGGTCCATAGGTAAGGTTTTGGATCTCCATGTCCTTCTCGTCCTTGTCCTTGGACAGGATGATCCTTGCCGAGGTTTCACGGTGAGTTAGTCCTCCCGCGCTGGGCCCACGGATGGCGGTCAAGACATGTGCCTTCCACATGAGATGGTTGTTACGGGAGAACTTCTCGATCACGCCCGGGCCTAAGGGAGAGGCGTGGGCACTGGGACCAGAAGAACTCACCATTGATCTAGATGTGGTAGAGCTTTGGCTCTGAAAACCGTGTACTAGAGAATAGGTGGAAGCATATGCTATCCAGCAGGCCGGGACGCATGCATGTTATTTATATAGGCATGGATATATTACATGGGTTGTTCCATTAGGTTTTAATTACTCTTGATCTCTAATAAGTTATACACACGTGATCTCATCCATGCCGACAAGCGTCGTGGGTTCTCCACCGTTGCGGTGCTTACGGCTTGGTCCATTTGGCGCCATCGTAATGCTGTGATCTTCGACAAGATAGCTCCCTCCACCGCCGCCCTACTAGCGGCAATTCAAGATGAGGCACGCTCCTGGACCCGCGCCGGAGCCAAAGGGCTTAGCACAATTATTCCTGTAATGTAACTGATCTTGTTGGGCTGAGCATCCCATTCCCCTACTCGCTTGCATCGTCGTAGCGCCTTCTTGTGCACGCAACTGCGATGTAAACCTGTACTTTCTATCCCCTATCAATGCAAAGATACGCTTCCAAGCGTATTCGAGAAAAAAAGCTATACACACGTGAGATCAATCTAAACAACCTACCGAACTAGAAGATCAAATAACACATACATGGGACATATGAGATTGTCATAATCCATTGTAAACGTAAGAGGTATCATTTTCTTTTTGTTTCACATCATTAAATTTGTTTTGTGGGTCTAATGTATACTTTGATTGGAACAAACACAGGGTATCTAACATGATGGGAGATGCTCGTTTTGTGTTCTTTACTGACTGGATTGGATCTCTTTTCTGGAACATTATCCTTTCTTGGGGAGAAATACATCATCTTGAACATACTCAGTTGACTATGAGACAATGGCTGAAGAGACAAATATATATCCTCATATCAAAATTAATAGATATCAGTCTAGTCGTGATATTTTACCCAGTGGCGCACTTTGCTTCTTTTGGACCATTACTGTACCTTTTGCTATCGGCCATTCGTTTAGTAGATCAAGATTATGGCATCGTTGATGGAGATGCAAGTAAAGCAAATTTGAAGCAGGGGCTGAACATATTCTACTACTTATCTTTTGCTCATGGCACAACATGCTTATTTTGCATGTTGGTTGAACAAGTTGCTGATGTAGGGTGCGTATTAACTGTTTGCCAACAGCATGGTTTCAGCCTCCACATCGATGTATTTGTTGCATACTTGCGCAAAACCAAGCAGATGTGTGTAAATAACCCCGCTTCCATAATGAGCTGGGATTTGATCACATATGGTGCCAACTTGCTGGATTCCCATTTACCGGAGGACTATGTTTCCGGTGCAAGGGTACTAACCATGCTGATTGATCACGATACACCCTTGGCGGTAAGACAGTTGCTGATTATATCACCCAGACAGAGAATTCAGAAGCTAATCGGCACCCTTGCTTGGAGAAGCCTATACGAGCAAGAGATGAGATGGTTTGCAGCAAGGATTGTGGAGCATCTCGCCGGTAACCTCAACCTTGCTCACTTTCCAGGAGCATTGGAATGCATATCTACCCTCCTCGATGAAGAAGCTCTACTTTTAGCATCTGTAACTCTGCAAGGAACTAAGGATCTGGTTTTGCCAGGGTTGAGAATTATAGAGAACCTAGCTCATGATGAACATAATTGCACACTGATATGCAACACTAAGGATCTTCTCTCAAATATTGTGAAGCCTATCAGGTCCAATGAGTTAGTAGAGGATATCAAGAGCAACGCTGAATGGACCAAGGTAGTAGTCGCATTAGTGAAAGTAGTGAGCAGACTCATGGACTCTTCAGGAACCACCGGATATGAGATGCGCAGATTAATTGCAGATGATAGTTATGCAGTCAGAAATTTGGAGGCCCTTCTGGACATGGATATGAAGATAAACAACAGTATCATAGAGCTACAAATGAGTGCTATAGAGGTTCTTACACAATTAACCTTACATAAACATAATTCAACAATTCTAGCAATGGGGATAAGAGCAGAAATTATTAAGAGGGCGGTACACATCTTCCTCACTACACATTGGATGGGAGATTATTTGAAAGATGAAAAAAGGAAGATCGATAAACCAACCACAAGTCAAGAAAATACTTTAACCAAAGAGTCAATACGCAGGCGCATGAATGATTTTGTTAACAAAGTCTGTGCAGTAGAGGCAATAAAGAAGGAAACGAGGATGAAAGAAGCTAAGGAAACTACAAGCCAGCTTAAAAACAAGGTGGGCGAAGCATTGGCCATGTTGTCCAGTGATTCAGAGGCTGTCAAGAGCTTCACAGGATGCAAAGATGAAGATATCCATCGTCTTACTGAATTGCTCAACTTCAATATCAAGACCATCGAATGCAAAATAAGTGCAACATATACTGTGGAAATAGATATCAACATCGGTTGTCGTATTAGTGCAGCAATCATCTTGAAGCATTTGAGCAACTACGTCAAGGTACCAATATTACAGAAGGTATGCCTAGACACGCCTACGGCATGCGTTGTATCATATTATAGCATCAAGTACCTACAGAATTTCTTTCAAAAACATGACCATATTTGCCCTGTACAGGAAAGACAAGTGGTTGCTGTTACACTTTCAAAATATGCTCGTATTTTCTTTTGTCTAGAGTTCATCTAATGTTTGCATGATTTTTTCTAGCTGCTCATGTTGCATACGAATTTTTCTGTGAATGTTTTAATATTTGTAATTAGGTAAATCCCGAACTCAGTTTCCACCCTTGCATTTAGAAAATGCACTAACTTCAACTGTTTTCAGCTAAAATAATACTCCCTCCGCCCGGAAATACTTGTCCAAGGAATGGATGTATCTAGATGAATTTTAATTCTACATACATCCATTTATATCCATTTTGACGACAAGTATTTCCGGACGGAGGGAGTATGTATGTATGCCGTTGCAGGTAATCGGACAGTTGATTCGTGTAAAACAAGATGAGCCTTCCACTTTACGGAGCCATATTAAGCAGTATGGGGACAGGAGGCTGCAAGTAGAGCAGCTATCACTCATTGCAGCGCTATGTGCAAGCAACAATGTTAATCTTGCAACAATTTTACCTTTACAGATGTCGCCGAATAGCATCTACACTATGGAAGATTTTGTGGTCAGTCTCAAGAAGATGGTGGAGGACAACATGTACACTACCCCTGTAGGCCTGGCGATACAGAAGCTTACCTGCAAGATGGTTATAGAATTTATGAAGCATGATCAAAACATCGAAATGATCGACAAGCACAATATCATTAGCACATTACTGAAGGCTTCAAAGGCGATGGATGGGCTTGAGAGCAGAATGCTTTTCTCTGGTAACGATCATGACTGCCACGGGGTTCCTCTGAAGCCTCTCTCTTCCGTTCTCTCTAAAAACGCAGAAGAACTTTTGAGACAGAGGAAACGGGATCTGGTCATCAACATTGCGCCTGCTGGTGTACCACCACCATGAATGTTGCATTACATAGTATCTTCGTATCTTCAAAACACTGAGACTAGTATTGAATTATCTGTTTGTTGTATGCTTGCCATTTTTTCCTTCATTTCCTTTTGCGAACTCATGGACCTTTGTAAAATGTAATAATGGACTGTGTGCACCTTCGGTGTAGAGACCGGGAGTGTAATCCTTTCGCTATCTACAGAACTGATTTCGTTTGTGCATTAAGACTTCAATCCATCTTCTGCATCATGACAAGATCTTTTTTTTCACGAATACGCATCGGCTTGCGTGTTATTCATTGATAGGTAGGAGAATAGCGGTACAAGGATAAGAGGAATGTTTGGGCACTACGTGCACAGGGATGGTGCAGGCACTAGCGTGATCATGATAGCACAGCTGCACAGGGGGTTGCTCAGCCCACTGAAAAGGCGAAAACACGAGAAGTAATACGGCACTATATTTGCTAGATCTAAGTCTCTATAATATGCATCAAATGCGACTGCCTGTGTACAAGTTCAGCTTGGAGCCGGTTAATGCCCTGCTGGACGGTTATGAGCTCTGCTTGCAGCCTCCTCTCCCCACTTCTGCTCAGACTATTTTTGATCAAAGAAGGGCTTGCCCCTTTCGATTTTCATTACTGAAAACCACTAAGTTCCACAAAACGAATTCAAGCCTTCTGTTCAGACTTGCTGAATTTGTTATACAGTCTTGTCATATTAACTGGCAGAACTCATTTATCGACTGTAAATCTCAGCAAGCTAGCTTAATTTGTAGTACTATCCAATGTTGTTCTTTTAACAAGATGTCAATTTCTTTTACGAACCCGAAGAAGTCAACTTTCTCATGCCATGGTTTATCTTTGTTCCCCATGTAAGCAACTGCACCTGTATGGGTGCTGGATGGAGTCACTATCTTTTTTTAGAACGAAGACGCCAGATGCATCCGGTTTTAAATTAATAAAGCCACAAACGGCAGAGTAACAACACCACAACCAACGATACTACAAGGACACAGGCCATCCCGGCTAGCACAGCGGATCGACATAACAAAGTTTAGGCCCGACTTAACAAACTACTACCGCAATACAGGGCAGCGCCCGTACAGAGCACGCAGGCTCGTCAAGCGACAAAAGGGACCAAGCATGCGCGCCGTGGTCAAGGCTCCCTAGCCAGCACATAAACTTGCATCAGACGAAGTTGGGCGGTCTGTAGCATCTCAGCATCCCTGCGCTTCCCCAACGGACTCCACTGCTGCAAGAGAAGATTGTATTTGAAAATGATGTTAGCCGGATGTGAAGGGAAGGTTCCTTCAATGGTGAATTTGTTCCTAATTAGCCACAACGCCCAGAGGAGAGCCCCAACACAACTCCACATAACCCTTTTTGGGCGACCGTGGATCGAGCCAAGGAGTTGGGACAGCTCCGCAGCCGATCTAGGGTCCCATTGGACACCCGCCGCCTCCCTGGCCGCGCTCCATGCAAAACGAGCCAGAGACCATGTGAAGAACACATGCGTGGCATCCTCGGGAGCCCCACACAGCGCACAAGGGCCCGTGGCCGGGCCGTTACGTTTGGCCACATTAATGGAGGTAGGCAGCTTATCGCGGAATAATTGCCACATGAAAAGCTTGATTTTAAGGGGCAACCGCGCTTTCCACATGCCGGTGCTCGCGTGTTGCGCCGACCCTCGACACAACTTGCGGTACAAGGAATTGACCGAGAATTTCCCGGAGTTGGTAAGCGCCCAACTAACCACGTCCGGTTCCCCTGACAGGGTGGTCGGCCCGATGAGATGCATCATACCCGCAAGGCTAGCCTGCTCTAGCCCCGTCAACTCACGTTTGAAGTGAATCGCCGGCTGTGACGGCCCTAGTGCCGCCGCCACCGTGATCTCTGGCTCGACAGCAATGTCGAAAAGCTCCCGAAATTCTGCCCAAAGGGGTTGGGCCCCGACCCAATGGTCCGTCCAGAAACGGGTAGAACGTCCATTCCCGATGGCAAACTTTGCCCCCATGGCAAATGCCGTTTTGATCGCCTGCAGGTCGTTCCAGAAGGAGGATCCCCTCGCCCTCCCTTCGAAAAAATTGCCCTGAGGAAAGTACTTGGCCTTGAGGAGATCGACCCACAAGCCCGTAGCCCCCTGGGCAAGTTTCCAGATCCATTTACACATCAAGGCTATGTTAATGAGTCTGGAATTGGTGATCCCAAGGCCTCCCAAGGCCTTGGGTCGACACACCCACGCCCATTTCACCATATGGTATTTACGATTTGGGCCGGTTCCTTCCCAAAAGAACTTAGCGCGGGGTGTATCAAACTTCACATGAACCCCTTCCGCGAGCAAGAAAAGACCCATTGCAAACATAGGCAAGGAGGAGAGGCTGGAATTCGTGAGAATTAGCCTAGCAGCCTTGGAAAGGAATTTCCCTCTCCAGGGGCACACCCTCCCACGAACCTTCCCACACAAAGGATCCCAATCCTCTATAGTGGGTCTTTTAGTGTCAATAGGCAGGTCTATAGTGGAGTCACTGTCTCACCGAGCATGTTTAGGCACCACTTGAAAAAACTGAGATTTTTATCCCTGTGGACACTAGACTTCAACGCCACACCCACCTAACAGCTATGTCAGGCAGGCGGCAGCCGATCACCGTAGCACACCGGTCGAGTTCTTCAGAAGAGTAGGACTCAGTCACAGCCACTCACCTATCCTGGATTCCTGGTCAAATAGGTGGGGCGGCTTCCTGACAAGTTGGAACATACTATTTCCAACGTGGGTAACCGTCGCCCGGGCTGAGTAACACAGGAGGGGGTCGAAAGGCCATTTGTCCAACTACCAAACAGAACTTGTAGATTATCAATCAATTGACCCAGCGGCAGGAGCAACTGCGCCCAGTCCAACGTAACAGTGCTGGCTTCTCATATCCGGTCTCATAAATCCAGATTGGACTCTTCTTTTCTTCCTGACAAGTTCTGCTTGCTTAACCGAACATACCATACCACGGACAGAAATGTCTACCGGAGTACGGCGGAGGACCGGAGCATCTAGAAACCAGCACGATAAGCTGGAGCTCCAAGGCGAGGAGCTCAAAGCTTTCTCGGAGGAGGAGGAGGAACTTCGACGACGGCCAGAGGTGACGATTATCAACAACTATGCGGTCGTTGTGGCGTACATCCGAATTGGCCTCAAGGGCATTGGGGCCCTAGCGCTTTTGTGGGCCACCGTCGTCCTCCTCGGCGGCTTCATCTCTGAGCTCAAGGGGGAAGATTTTAGGACTGTCACCATCATCGCGTTCCTGCAGGCAGCTGGGTTAGTGCTTCCTATTCTTTCTTCTTTTTTCAGTTATAAACTCGTATTCTCTATATATGTTGTTAACAGTGATACAATAGTGGCGAGATGTTAGTGCTTTGAACTACTTTTTAGTTTTTACACTAACAGAACAGGTTACTGTCATGGTTTCGTTACCAGGCGGTAAATTCGGTTACTGCCGGATAACCATGTATCTCGCTACTCCCCGGTATATGTATGTACCCAGCAAAAAATTTGACTATTTTGAAAAATTTAAATTTAAACGGTCTCCGTATCCAGAAATAAGGATGCCGGTCATCCTCCCGGCTCCTCACAGCTCGCGATCCCTGGCCTTTGGATCGGGTTGCTTGATCGGATCTGGACCGTCGGATCAAGCCTTCGAATGACTTGCGCCGTCGGATCAAAGAGGAGCCTTGTAGCAATGAATAGTTTCACCCCGTTCGTGCCACCGCTCGTAATTCCGACGCCCCCAAGGGCATTTTCGTCATTTCACGCACATGGGTATAAAAGTGGCGTCTCCTCTGGAGATGACCTAGCCGCCGCCTCCTCGCGCACTCCCGCACTCGCGCCCGCTCCTCCCTCATGCGCGCGACGAGGCCAGCGTGCCGTCGTCTCGTCTTCTGCCGCGCCCGCCTCCCTGCCCCGCCGCCGGCCGCCGCTGCTGCTGCTCGCCCGGGTACCCGGCCCCTCCTCTCCTCCCCGCGCCGCCATCCATCCTACCTCTCTTCCCCGCCCCTCCCCTTCTCCACTGCAGCCGCCGCCGCGCCCCTCCCCTGCCTCCGCTCCCTACCGCGCCGTCGGGTCGTCTCCTCCTTCCCGCCCTCTCGGTCCTCAGCAGGACGAGCGCGGCTCGCCACCGCAGCTGCTCCTGCTCAAGGACGAGGTGATGAAGATAACCCCCGTGCAGAAGCAGACGTGCGCCGGCCAGCGCACCCGCTTCAAGGCCTTTGTCGTCGTCGGCGACAGCAACGGCCACGTCGGCCTCGGTGTCAAGTGCCCCGTGCAGAAGCAGACGCGCGCCGGCCAGCGCACCCGCTTCAAGGCCTTTGTCGTCGTCGGCGACAGCAACGGCCACGTCGGCCTCGGCGTCAAGTGCGCCAAGGGAGGCGGCCACGGCCATCCGCGACGCCATCATCCTCGCCAAGCTCTCCATCGTGCCCGTCAGGAGGGGCTACTGGGGGAACAAGAACGGGCAGCCCCAGACCGTCCCATCGCCAGTACGGTTTGTGCCTCCCCTTCTTCCCCCTTATCCTCTCCCCATCGAGGAACCCAACCAAATCGAATTCAGGGGAGGAGAGGCAATCTATAGATAGATAGATGGAGTGGTGGAAGAACCCCCTAATCGAATCCTTCCTCTTTGCTTTGGTTAGAATTAGCTGCTGACTGCCTTTCTGTTGATTAGAATTAGGTGTCGTGGGGATGTTCCTATGGTTGGCTCTGTTCCGCTATTCCCGTGGTTGGCTCCATTCCTCTATTTCCTTCACTTCCCGCCATGGATTTCTTGTTCTTTCTGCGCAGGATTGGGTTCTGACCGGGTTTCTTTCCTCCCTCCTTCTGGTTCTTCTTCTTGCAGCGTGGAATCGGCAGCAAAGCGGAGGAATTTCAGGGGAAGGAAGGATTTGACCGGCAGCTCGGGTGCCCGCCCCCTGGGGGTCTGAAATCGTGGCCGCCCGCGTCCCCCAGAAGGTGCTGCAGTTCGCCGGCATCGAT